GGTTCAGGTCTTAGCAGCATCTTTTTGGGTTCGGGTTAGGACCGTCTTAAATTTCCAAAACCCATTTGAGGCTCTAAGGCCTGTGTCCTTTAAGGCATATTTTAATGGGAGGATGTAAATTTCCTGGGACCGCGGTTCCGTGGGTGTTCTCAATGATTCATTAGAAAGCCTGGGGAGAAGTTTCAACTCAGAGTGAAAAAATGCAGAACACAATATTTACCGCACCGCTTCATCCACACCCGAGCAGAGCCAGCATGTTTGTTGCGCATGTAGTTACTGGAGTGCACACAAATACATGCAAAAGCAAATGTTAAGCAGAGAAAAATTCACACAAGCACGTGTAAGAAGCCACATGCATACACACTCACACACGCATACACACGCACACACGCATACACATGCACACACACGTTCACACACACACATAAATCAGTGACTTCAAAGGCCCACGCTGCAGTGCCCAGAGCCATGAACAAAGCATAGAGAAGCAGAGGGCAACTTTTAATTTTAAAGCAGTGCTAATGAGGTTTGGAAAGAAAGAAAGTGTGTCAAAATCTGTGTGTGTGTGTGTGCACGTGTTTGCTGTATATTTGTGTGAGAATTTTCCAATAGTAACAGTTTCACTGGCAGGTATTTCCGTGGGGATGAATGGAGTGGGCGGTTTTTATCAAAGAAATGCTCGCTAAGCTGGAGAAAAGAATTAATTTCCTTCCTGCATGGATTTGTTGGTTATATTATGCGTGAATAGTAACAATTGACAAGGTGTGTGTATTTGTCTCAGAGTTGCAGGGACACACACACGCACACACATACTTCGGAGAAAGACTGTAAGGGTGACACAGCTCTATCTTAATGGAAGAATCATTAAAGGCAGGGACTTTGATGTCACTGCCTTCCTTTCATTTTGTTACGCACTCGCATCTAACCCAGAAATATGCATGCAGGCACATAAACACACACGTGCGCACACACACATACACACACACACACAGACACTCCATTGCCAGTGGTATAAGGGCAGCTAGCTTTAAAGTTACTCTCATTACTCATCTTGCTTAGCAGGAAACCACATTACTGTCTGTGTGTGCTGAAGCCTTAATTCTGATATAAATACATTACAGGATGCATGAGTGTATCAGTGAGTTTGTGGGGTTCCTCCTGCACTTTGTTGAATGGAGGTTTTGTGCAGCGTGTGGAGTGATGCAAATTACTGCTACTGGAGTCATCTTTTCAAACAATGCTTTAAAAATAGCTGGAAGATGCAGCCGACTGTGAAAGAGGGAAGATACGTGTATGAATTTGAAGATGAATACTGCAAATAAAGGGGAGGGGGAAGAAAAGAAACAAAGATGGAGAGGGAAAAGAGAAGGAAAAGAAGGGGGAAAACAGAAGATATATGAGATGAAAGTGGAGAAGAAGGTGATTATTGCCACTGCAAAGAGTCAGTTGTCTGTAGCAGCTCTTATCTCGTCCAGGATTGAGGTGCAAGTCGCCCTGCTCTTGCCACACAGTTCATATTTTTATTCAGTTTATTGTTGCATGCATGTAATGGTCTTCATGTTACTGAGAATGTCCAAGCTTCCAGCACCAACACTCTTGCAGCCTTGCTAAGTTTCTATGTATTTAAAGGTTCTTAATTGTGTGACAGAGAAACCCTGGTGCAATTTATTGTACACTATAGTAAATGTGTTGTAAAATTGACATTCTCCAGGTAATAGAGCACTGTTTTTTTTCCTTCTCCCATTCTTTTTCTCACATTGTTTAAATAATTTGGCGATGTATTCCCTGAAAAGTTTGACAAGCTGAAGGTGAGAAGTGACAGGAACAAGATACAAACGGTGAGAATGATGAGTAATTTCTTTCCCTGCCCATTCATGTTAATGGATGAAATGGTGCAGAGAGAGAGAGAGAGAGAGAGTGAGAGAGTGGAGAGTGTGGGAGGGAAGCAGATTGTTAATTAAACGTTGAGACAGCGGTGTTTCCCGTCCTGAAACGAAATGAATTTAATCTCAAAACAGAATGGAGTTAATTACCGACTATAAGGGCTTCATTTGGAGAAGCACTAGGCACACTTAACATCAAATTTATCATCCCAACATGCACCCTGCATCTTTTTTAAATGGCTGCAGAGGGGACAGATAGATGCAGGCTACTGTACACACTCCAGCTCACTGGTTGACACCTGCACAAAAACATCATTTAGGCCCACAAAAATATGCTTCCCACGTATACCAGAGAGGTAAATAAACTAGCAACACACAGATACACAGGAATAGACTGAAGGAATTAGGATTCAGTCACGTTCTATTCCACAATTTGAAGCCCCAATAATCAGGTTATTAGAGATAAACTGAGAGCTCGGTGTGTTGCTGCTCATCAGATGAAGAGCTCGTAATTCAATTAGCCTGTTGTCAATGTGCTACAATTGCTGAATTATCTAATAAACTGGCTATGACTATGATCCATTACAGCTGAGACCATTCTTTTATCTGAAGTGAATAAAGAGAATTTCTAACTGGTCTCACATTAGTATGCCCGGCCTGTGCCGTGATGTCGCTGAACAATTAACTATCCAGTTTTTACACAATCAGCCAAATTATGAGCCTGCAGATAGTTCTGTTGGTGGGGTCGGAGCGGGGAAGCGAAACTGTTCTGTCCATTACAAGTGATGCTACGGTTCTAAAGTTCTTTCTGATGTCTCTAAATCTAGAGTCTTTGTCTGAAAATGAGGGACATTATAGACATGTTGACTGCCAAATCGTGTGTTTACTGCTATGTTTATTCCTCTGATTTTGAGTATCTGATGCTATCTGCTCCAGTTTCTTTACTTGGAAATGAATTGGCAGAGGATAGTTGATTCGGCCCACAAAAAGCTTTCACGCTATGTCAGGTACCTGAGATGCAGGTTTTTTAACCCAGATCTTCACTGCAATCAATACCAGGGCTTGTAGTTCACAGGAACACTTTTTCACATCTGACCAAACTTTTATCTCGCACTGGGAGCTTTCCGCTCAACCTCAACAGACGACACAAAAGCATGGCCTCAAAAATAGCTCAGGTATTATTGTTTACAAGATTTTAGTCTCTTCTCTCTTTTTCTCTCCATTTTTAGTTTGCAGTGTGAAGCAAACCTTCTGTCTGGTGTGTTGTGTGTGTGTGTGGGTGTGGGTGAGGGGGGGGTTGATGTTGAACCTCTCTCTTCCAAAGCCGCCTTTTTATTCAACAACTTCTGCTTTCAACTACACATTCTGTGAGTGATTTAAAAAAAATAAAATAAAAAGATGATGTTTCTCCTGACCTCCTTTCAACAGAGCCGCAACGGTGCACTCTAATAACTGACGTTCGCTTTTAACAAGCTGCTTTTTTTTTGGGACCATCAAAGACGAGGTGTGTTTTAGGGATAGCAGTGGATTTGGCTGCGACACTTGCTGTCAGGTGTGCATGTGTGTACGTAAACAAGCAGATGCACGGATAGGATTTGATATAGTCTTTTATCTGGGAAATCTGTTCTCTGTGGGGACAGTTATTGATGATGATGGGCCATAAAACAAACAATGATTTAATCACTTTTACACTGCTCCAAGGACAATAGAGAGGGAATGCAAACATCAGCGCTTGTGCGCGTACACACCGTATGCCTTGTTTCCTCTTAATTTCCTGTCTGTGTTTAGGTATGCAAAATAAAGCTGTAGGTTATCCTTGAGAAAGTATTCTTAACTTCCAAGTATTTGTCTTAAATGTGAAGGGTGTGTGTGTGTGTGTG